ATTGGATGGTGAGATGTGGTATATTTGGAAATCATGAATTCTGTCTTCATTGTGTGAAGTTTGAGAGATCAAATAGATCTGAGAAGTGGGCAGTTTCTGCCTATATTCTATCTAGATAGAACAATCTAGAAGTTTATAAAAGGCAAGGCTGGTTAGTAGTAGTTAGGCCATAAGCAAGAATGGGATCACCTACCAAGTGAGAACATGGACAGAGAACTGAGGCTGGTGACCTCTGCACCTGGCAACTAGAATATGACAGAAGGTCAGGAAAGGCTGAAATGTCCAGGAAAGTATGAGGAAAACCTGAAAAGTATGATTTCCTGAAAGGCAATCTAAGAAAAGGTAGAAGGAAGAACTTGGCCAAAGATACCAAGTACTGCTGGAAATCAGGCAGTGTGAGGTCCACTGGAGAAAGCTCTGGGATCCAGACAGGATTATCTTCTCTCCTAATTGAATCTTTTAAATTAGCAGATGGTAAAATTTTCTTTTTTATTATATAGTTCTATCCATTTTACCACAGGCATAGATTTACTTAACTACTATTTGCAATCAGAATTAAGTACATTTTCATCAATCCCAGAAAACTCCCTGAGCTATTTGTGGCTTGCTCTCTGTTCCCTACCCCTAACGTTTGGCAACCACGGATCTGTTCTCCATCACTGGCTTTTTGTTTTTTCAGTAATGTCAGATAAATGGAGTCACAAGGTATAGAACCTTTCATCCAGCATAAGGCCTTTGATTGTCAGCTAAGTTGCTGCTCACCAAAGAGTTCTATTTGGGGGTGCGTAGTAGGCTATTATATGGATATACCATAGCTAGGTTATTATGCACCCTTTCAAGGACATTGAAGTTTTTTTTTTTCAGTTTTTTTGGTAATTTATGAAGAAAACTGCTGTAAGTATTTTTATATGGTTTCTTGCATAAACATACCCCAGGACTAGAATTGCAAAGTAATAAGATAAGAGTGTATTTAAATTTATATGAAAGTGCAAAATTATTTTTTGGAATAACTGTAATATAGGTTATTAGCTTTTTAATTTATTTTTTAAAATAGAAGACTTTTCATTTTTTATGAAAAGGTAAACCAGGCTCTGTAAGGTATACCTGTAAACCCAGCATCACAGGAAGCTAAGGAAGAGGATCCCAAGTTCAAATCTCACCTCTGCAACTTAGTGAAACTGAAAATAAAAAAGGCTGGCAATATGGCTAAGTAGTTAAGTGCCCTGGATTCAATTTCTAGTTTAAAAAAAAGAAAGGGAAGAAGAGAGAGAGGGAAGGAAGGAGGGAGGGAAGGTGGAAGGAAAGGAGAAAAAAAATATAAACATTCAGAATTTTATGAAAATTTTCTCAATTTTTAAAACATCTTAGGGGTCAAATTCTTTCTCTCTGCAGACCACTAGTTTTCAAACATTGACATAACCCAATCCCTATGTTAATAATTGGTAAAAGTTGAGAATGAGAGATTAAAAAAATAATTTGCTATTATTGCAGAGCCTTAAAGTACCAGGTTTTTGTTTGTTTATTTGTTTTTTGGGTACCAGGGATTGAACTCAGGGGCACTGGGCCACAAAGCCACATCCCCAGCCCTATTTTGTATTTTATTTAGAGACAGGATCTTTCTCACTGAGTTGCTTATCATCTCACTCTTGCTGAGGCTGGCTTTGAACTTGAGATCCTCCTACCTCAGCCTCCCCGACTACTAGGATTACAGGAGTGCAAACTTCTTGTACACCCTGCAAATGCCAGGTCTTTTGACTTTAAATATTGTGTTCTTTCTACTTTCATACTACCTCCCTTAGAACTATTAATACCTTTCAGTGAAATAGGTTGCCCTGCTACTCAAATCATTTTCTGTTAACACATATTGATACCGCCCGTTACCAGTGATGAGTCCTGCTTCCCCACATGTTTAAGTCTGAACATTAGAGAAGCACGCTGAGCAAGCATATAAAGCAGGGTTTATTTTTAAAGGGGTAACAGAGGCTTCTTCCAGGAGGGAGAAGGGGGCCATAGCTGGTATCATGGTATCCCAAGAAGCTAGGTGTTCTGCCCTTTTTATATGTCCTATGCTTGCTTTGTTCTCCTGCCTCCTACCCCTTTCTCCTTCATGTGTAGGCCACTAAGCCCAGGAATGCTCTTTGGGATGGCCAAAAGGTGGGAAAGGTGGGCTGAAGAGGGAAGAGCAGGATGGAGTAGCCAAAGACACAGTAACAACCTTATAGCTCCCTGTAGGGAGGAGAAATCCTGCGACAGGTTACCTTGGCAACAGTTTGCAGCAGGGGCAGGTTCTTGATAAGATCCCTCAGGGGACAGTCTTCAACTTCCCAGACTCACTCAAATTGGCCTCCTTGATCCGACCTGACTCAGTTTACCTATCTACACTGACTGCCTCTCTAATTCTAGCTTCAATATGACAAAGGAAAACCCTTCTGAAATGGAAGACTCTCCTTCTTATTAACTCTGTTTTCTTAATGCTTCCTGAACCTCATATTTCTCATCTGTAAACAAAAGTTTTGATGTTATTTTTAAGTCTTAATTTGCATTGTTTAACTATTCAAATAAATATAATAAATCATTTAACTTTAATAGTATAATTCAAAAAAAAAGAAATTTTAAAACAAGTATTTATCTAAACTCTAACTACATGAAAGCAATCTGGGAAAGATAACATTATATATTAGTAAAACTGTCCTGGGAGACCTAACTTCTAATACCAGCAATTCTCTAAATGTTCTTAGCAATCAACATTTCCTTTTTTTATATCAATCTTTTTATTTACATATGACAGTGGAATGCATTACAATTCGTATTACACATATAGAGCACAAATTTTTCATATCTCTGGTTGTATACACAGTATGTTCCCACCAATTCGTGTCTTCATACATGTATTTGGATAATGGTGTCCATCACATTCCACCATCATTTCTGACCCCATGCCCCCTCCCTGCCCCACTCACCCCCCTGCCCTATCTAGAGTTCCTCTATTTCTCCCATGCTCCCTCTCCCTACTCCACTGTGAATCAGCCTCCTTATATCAGAGAAAACATTTGGCATTTGGGTTTGGGAGATTGGCTAACTTCACTTAGCTTTATATTCTCTAACTCCATCCACTTACCTGCAAATGCTATGATTTTATTCTCTTTTATTGCTGAGTAATATTCCATTGTGTATATATGCCACATTTTTTTTATCCATTCATCTATCAAAGGGCATCTAGGTTGGTTCCACAGTTTAGCTATTGTGAATTGTGCTGCTATAAACATTAATATGGCTGTGTCTCTGTAATATGCTGTTTTTAAGTTCTTTGGGTATACACCAAGGAGTGGGATAGCTGGGTGAAATGATGGTTCCATTCCCAGTTTTCCAAGGAATCCCCATACTGCTTTCCATATTGTCTGCACCAATTTGCAGTCCCACCAGCAGTGTAAGAGTGTGTCTTTTCCCCCACATCCTCACCAACATTTACTGTTGTTCATATTCATAATAGCTGCCATTCTGATTGGAGTGAGACTTGATGAACAGTCAGATATCTAATATGATTTTTAAATACTTTAAAATAGTGTAAGAATGACAATAGAAGTCATTTGTAAAAAGGAAGAAAAAAAATCCCAATTCTGTTTCATAGAGATGTGTATACCTACCTTCACTACCAGACCCATAAGTTAAAATATAGATCCCAAATGTATATTTTAAAATATTTGAAAAAATCAGTTTCCTTTACAATTTTAATCTTTCTTTTGGCTGTCCGATTTTCTTCGGACAAAACAACTAGTTTAGTTGTTTCTAAACCCCAAAGGATTCTTGCTTTCAACAATAATTGATTAGCATAATCCGTCTTTAGTTTATTCAATCATTCAAAACCCATTTTGAACATCTGTTATGAGCTGGGTAATGCAAGATGATGATGGCACAGTGGATTGAACACAATGACAGGGATGTGCACCGGATGCTTTGGGAGCGTGCAGGGCTACTGTCTGCCCAGAACTTGAAGCTGTGGATCAAGGATCGTCAAGGTTGATCTCTGAAATTCTAGCCAATATCTAGGCAGTTGATGATTTGTGCTTTCGAGAAGTATCACAATCCTATACTCTTATCCTGTTCTTTTCCCCCTATCTTCTTCCAAAGGATTCATCAGTTAAGATGGGAAGGGAATGAATCAGTATAGACACTCAGTAGAAAAGCTGTGTCCACACAACACAGATGAAGGAACATGGACTCTAATAGTTAAAAAACAGCAGTCAGACTATCTAAACTCCATATTGGTAACATGGTAAATCTTTTCTTATTTCTCATCTCCTCACTTAGAAATTCAGGCTGTAATACCTGCATGCTCAGGACAGTTGACATCCATATGCTGAAGCCAGTGCTCACTAGTATGTCCCCAATTAGTAGCCTCTTCCAGGATTGGCAAATTGGTTTTCAAAGTAATAGTATGTTAACATTACAAATGAGTCATATACATCAAAGCTGACTAATATACCCACTTGACACTACTTACATGTGATCAGCTAATTCACTGGTGTTACTTACATACTTTTGTCCCAAGGCTATTTTTAACAGTAGTTTCATGTACTTGTAGACCCTAAAAAAGGACAGATAATAACATACAATTAGCTGAGAAAGAAATGTCAGCTGGAAAACAACTTATTTGCTTTCTGGTTGTTGATTCAATACGTGTACTTTTGTATCCTGAAGATACTGAGAATTCCCTAAGTTACCTTACTTATGTGTTTAATAATCACTGATGGGCTTATCTTCATCTTTCTGCATCATCTGGTCAACTTAACATTATTTATAGCTTTATTAGTATTTCAATATAGTATAGATATTTACAATGCTAAATAGCTCCCAGACATTTACTTTTAAATGTACAGAGTGTTGATAAATTTCCAATAAAGTTTGTCATCCTCTCAACAGAGAAAGTGTGCTCATTGTTGACATATATTCAGGTTTCTATTTTGTTATGTTAATGATCATCTTTTGCTTGTTTTGGAAAGGAATTGAATTGGAAATTGTCAATAGCTGTGAAAAGAACAATGGTGGCTGTTCCCATCACTGTGAACATGCAATTGGTGGGCCCCTTTGTTCCTGTAACCATGGACACCAGCTTGATTTGGATGAGAAAACGTGCATAGGTAATGTTTGGTCAATGCCATCTTCATTCAAAAGTTGCCCTGGATTCATTTAATTCATTCATCTTGATGCTCATTGCTGTAAAGTGAGACACATCTCTCAAACTTCAAGGAGAACTAGATTGGATAGTGTCTCTGGCTACAAAATAAATGTGAAGGAAAGATCTCTTGGCAGAAGATATCATTACAATTAGATATTGCCTTGAAATTAAGGAGATTAAAAGCATTTTAACAATATATATGGGCTTAATAATTTAATTCAGGAAAATATCCCAAGGTCTACCTAACCATTTCATGTGATTCATATTCCAACAACAGATGCTATCATGTGTCCCATGCCTCAAACAGAAACTAAATCAAATGTACTGGTTTTCAAGTTAGTAAAGATTTAGATGAATATTCAACTTTAAAACAGCAGGTTACTATGTTACAAAAGAAAACTTTGGAAGATAATCATTTTAAACATCCCAATCCCAAACCTATTCTTAATGGCTAAGCTCTCCTGACATATTATTAGAATTTATATCATTTGAGACAATGATAAGAATATATTCCACCCTGTCCTTCCATCATAATGAAATATTTAATCAAGACCTTTATTTTGGAGGGGAGGGCAGGGGGGAGAAGGAATATCTTTTGTAAAGACAGAGCATCAAATCACATTAGTATGGGCTTTGGTTCTGAGGACACTTTCAAGCCCCTAAACAGTGATTTGCCATCACTTGTCAAGATACTGTATCTGTTTCTCTTCTTTTTTGATGCTCTTTTTAAAATTATAATGTAAATGATAAAAAAATCTTTGGTCCACTTCATGCTATTCACTAGGGTGAGAGACAATCTGAAGTATAAATAAACAAGTAAAATTCTATGATTTAAGAACTGCAGGTTTTATTTTATTTTTTTTAAATCTTGGTTGATTGATGGGAGAGGATGAATCTCAAGATATTTTGCAGTAATCTGGTTTCATAAATTATTTAAGAAAAACACTGACATTACTTATATTTCTTGATCCAACCTTGCCTTTTACATTGCTGTCTGAGTCGGTAGTGGTTACCTTATGGAAATCAACTGTTTTCCTTGTCTCTTTTTGTATAATGAAAAGAAAAATCATGTTTTTTTTTTTTCCTACCATGCAATGTTCATATTTATGGAAAATTAATGACTATCTGACTTCCTTCCTTCCTTCCTTCTTTCCTCCATTCTTCCTTTCTTCCTCCCTTCCTTCCTTCCATCTGTATTCCTCATTTGAGTACTAGATAAGGGAAACTGAAATTTTACTAAATCTTGTCTTTGCAAATTATAATTGATGTCTTTCTTTATTCTTTGAAAAGTACAATTCAGTAAAGTTCTTATTTACAGTTAGAAAAAAATAGCATCTGCCAGGGTCAAAATGCAGAAAATTGCATATTTATGAGATTTCAGCAGTCAACATGATAGTGTTACATTCTTTATGGTATTTCAAATTTATTTCATTTTCCAATGATAAAAAATACTTATTTATAAAGACAAATATTCACTTAGTGTAAAAGGCAGTGATTCATTTGGAGTGCATATATACATACTTTGCTTATTTGCCTGGGAACAGATTAAAGTCATGGATGCTTTGTAAAAACATTTATGCATGAAGGAAATGAAAGAATTTTTAGCTTATTTTAGTATCAAGTATTTTTTTTAATTGTGAATGTACAAAGAAATGTGAAAATAATTCAGCCAATATGCAAATGGTCAACCAGTCTTGCCAGAATAGGAAAACTTATCAGTGCTACAACCTAGATAGAGTTGTAACACAATTTGAAAGACTACTATTTATAACATGCAAGCATCCAACCAGCAACAAACTTAATGAATTTAACAATTATCCAGTTATTAGAAAATATGTTTTTAATTCTAACTTACTGAGCTTTAACAAGTAACTGTAAATTAGATAAAGAAGATGATGCTTTTCAGAAGTCAGAACTGAAATGTTTAATTATTTTGCCTGGCTACAATTGGTGCTCTACTTTTAATTAGAGCTAAATTTTTCTGTACGGGTAACTGGTGCAGTATGTGTCCATAGTGAGACAATATCTGATAACATTGTCCAATTTAGATAAAATATGATCATCATAAGGGAGGAAAATTAAAAGGAAAAATGAGTCAGTGAAGATATCAGCAAATGTAATCTGAAAAGAAATCAAGAAATTTAGAAAACCAGGGATGTAAAGCTGAAGTACCAGGGCAGTCTAAGAAAGGTTTGTGGTAGAGGAAGAATGGGGCTACAGATGAATTTAGAATTGAAAATGGTATATATGAAAGAATCTAGAAATAGCTCCTGAGGAATGATAATGGAAGAAGAATCCAAAATGAATCATAAAATAACAGTCAGAACAAGGGGATTATTTTCCAATTATAAGAGGCAATTAAGCATCTTGCTATTTGAGACCTGTATGTTTGGAGGCTCTGGTGGTAGCTAAGAAGTCTTCTTTAAAAATCTGGAAATTAAAAAATAAATAAATAAAATTAAAATAAAGGGTAATATTTTAGATGAAATAAAACAATTATATTTTTGAACTATTTTAATCCTCCAAGTTCATGCTATTTTGTCTAAAAGGCAGAAGTTTTAATAAATGAAATTGAGTAAATTATACTTTCTGTTGTGTGCATGTACAAATATGTAACAATGAATCCCACTGTTATGTACAATTACAATGCACCAATAAAAACTCATCTAAAGTGAAAGTGCTTATCATATTTTACAGGAGAAAGCATGTTTTGTCTCCAAATGACCTTCATTTAGATATTTTATGTTGACCCCTCACCTTGATTGACTGATTGCATTTTCTTTCCTTTCTGTCTCTTGTCTTCATTTCCTTGCGTTGTTCGGTACCTTTTCCCAGGTTAATTGAGACACTGACCCTTTTTTATCTGTGGCTGCTCATGTAGTTATGGAGCAATGGGATTTTGTAAACTCAGCAGTGACAGACCACCCAACTTAACAGAGAGAGCTGAATTGAACCAAGGGCTTAAAGCCAAACACCTTGACCACACAATTCCCAGGAGCCCAGCTTAAGGAAAGCAGAAGCAGGTTTTTGTTGCTCCTCTTTGGTCATTATATTAAAAAGGAGCACTTCAAAGGCAAAAGAGATTACTCTTTGGCTGAGGGGTTCAGTTTGACATCTTCTGGTATGTTTCTATTTTCCCCAGGGCAATTGTGTTTTAGGAAGAAACATTCAGGCTTCTGGAATTCTAGAATAATTTTACTGCAGGAGACTTAAAGATCATCATTTAGAAAACTGCTCATTGGGCTGGGCATGACAAGGCAACAATGTCATAGTTGTAACAAAAGAAACCCAGACTTCACTCATCCTAGTCAAGCATCACCTAAATGTTCAAACAAATGTTCTGAACTATTCTATGTGTTAAAACACAATATGTTAAATAAACATTCTGTCCTCTCTCAGGAGTATATTACCACTTCTCTTCCCAGTTGTGTGAGAAAGGAACTTTTGCTGGAGAGCACTTTGAGATCTGAAGTTCTAGAAGAACAAGCACATTGTGGAGTTTAAGATAGTCTCCTTTCTGTAGCTGTCAAATGCTACTAAATTGAATTCTTTGTCTCATCTTTTTCAAGCTGTTTTTTGTTTCTTCAGGTTTATTCATTCGAATTGCTGTTTGAATTAGAAAAATAGCAGAGATTTCTTCTCTTGTTCTTATAAATGCATTTCAAGTTTATTTACATTGTTCTAAAATAAATAACAGGCATAGAAGAAACATGCTAGAAACCTAAGCCAGAAGGTCTTATTATCTTTGTGTTACAGTTTCTTCGGTGTTTGTACTATATGACCTGAGAAAGAGAAAACAGTAGCAACACTGTTTTAATTTGTAAATGAGGCTTCTCAGAGCTTCCTTAGGTTGGCTAAACTCCTATCTCTGCAATAACAGGAGTGTCTTTTTCCCTGCAGATCTCGATGAGTGTGAGAACGGAGAGGCCTGCTGTGCCCAGCTCTGCACCAACTATTTAGGAGGCTACGAATGCCATTGTCAGGAAGGCTTTCAGATCAGTCTGGACGGTTGTGGATGTGATGGTAAATTTCTGAGATCTAACATGCAATAATGGATGTGATGGGGCCATCAGTGAAAGACGACTCTACCTCTACTCTAAGGTAGAGCGCTGAGACACTAAAAAGAGATTGGATTTCTATGTGGTTCTACCATTAAACTATGGTGTTGGCTTAGGCAGCTCCAACTTCTGTGAACCTCAGATTCTCATCTTTAAAATGAAGGCAGTATTAGAATTAGTGAAGTAAATTTTTAAAAGTAATAAATGAAAGTACAATGGTTGGCATACAGAAATCACTCAGCTAAAAGTAGCTATTGTTATCATCATATTCATTAGTGCATGATACCCTTCACTCCATCTCACACACATACACATATACATGCATATACACACATAAGCAATTAAGAGATTCTGGAAGGTTACAGCCCAGTGCCATAGGAATCATCCACAGCAAACTTGACTGAAAGTCATTTTAACCAATGACAAGAGTATCAATAGCAAAGCAATTATCAGTTCATGATAATTCTGTACCAGAATCCCTTGTGTATATCTGATATTAATATATAGCTGATGTATGTTTTAAGATAAATCATCTTACAGTTTTCTAACTTAATTTCCAGGTGATTTCTAGCTTATGTTTTCTTGTCTGTTTTTTGATATAGGGGCCTTTGACTATAGTGAGTAGAATCAGTTAACTTTATTCAATTAAAATTAGGTCACATAAGTCATTGCTTGATTTTTTTAAAAAGTTACCCTTTAATGTATAATCTTTAAGTTTTCATTTTTAATCACTATTACTCCAAACTATATTTTTCTTGAAATCAAAGCAAAGATCAGAATGTTGATCTTTACGCAAATAACAGGTCAAATACATGGCTTCAATGTCTCAGAGAAAATAATGTTTCTTTTCTTAAAGAAACAATTACCTGAATTCTGTTGAGATTTTTTTCCATATACATAGCAAGCCCCCCTACCCCCGCAGCCTTGCAGTATAGATAACAGCAAAAACCACACAACTCTGAAGTCTATATATACTACACATACTAGAGTATATTACCATTTACCACATTGTAGCCAATTAACAGAGCCAACAAAAAATTTTGAATTTTATGTACCATCTGCTCTTCAGCAGAGTGAGCCAAGAAATGATTGTATGGCATGAATGTACATACTTGCGTACACGTATCCAAATGGAAAATCTATCTGTAATCTCAGGCAAAGCCTAGAAATACAGCTTCATTGGTGAATTTTTAGTATCTTGTACACATTGACCAAAGTCTGGACTCAGATTGGTCATAAATCACTAAGTCATATGAGGTCAGAGACTAGAGTTCTTTCATCTCTAAAATTCTCTACAATCCTTGTGCAGATATACGCATAGGGTTAAGTGTTCTATCCGATATTTGAATTCAAGAGTGAATGAACATCCTCCAAAATGGTGCAGAGCCTAAAATCATGGAATTTAAGTTTTATGTTCTTTATCTAACTCTCATAATCAAGGTCTCAGAAAGACCTTACTTATATAGATAAGCTATGGTAAGCTTGGAAATAAGCAAAGAAAAAAAGAATTGGCGGGGTACAGTGGAGAAAAAATCGGGGGGCTATGCCTGCTTTCTAGATGGCAGTGTGCTGTTATTGGCTAATGAAGGCCACAAAAACAACACAAAAAGCAGATGTTGTTTACATCCTCCTAGATGTGGATGAGTGTCTGGATGTCAGCATAGTCTGTGACCAACTATGTATCAATTCTGTGGGAACCTACGACTGCACCTGTGCTGAAGGCTATAGAATTGGAAGTGACAGGAAAACTTGCATCTGTGAGTCACTAAAGAATTTTCTTTTGTCTTTTCTAAACTACCTCTACCCTCACCTTGCTTTCAAGAGCAACAAAAACCACACATTCCTCAACTCAGTGTCTTCCCCTTTCTATCTTCATAATCTGAGATCTCCCTCCCTCCCTCCTTCTTCCCTACCCCTTCTTTCCTTCCTGCTTCCTGTTTGTGTTTCTTTCCCCCTTCCTTCCTCCCTCCCTCCTTTCCTTCCTTCCTTCCTTCCTTCCTCCCTTCCTTCCTCCCTCCCTTCTTCTCTCCCTCCCTCCCTTCCTTCTCTACCTCCTTTTTCCTCTCTACCTCTCCCTCTTGCTCTCTTCCTCTCCCTGTCCCTCTCTCTCTCTCTTCCCCTTTTGTTCTCTCTCCCTCACTTTCAACTCCCAGTAGCTTCCCCTTCCTTTACAATAGACATTTGAACTAGCAATCTCAAAGTGCTTTGCCTGTTGGTGACCTCCCCTGGGCTGCTTGGTTCAAATCCTCACTGCTCTGTCCACACTTGATCAGTGTTTCCCTTTCCAATCCACATGTGAAACCCAGCATTTCCTCTATGGTCTTAGCTTTAGATGATGACGAGCTGGAGGGTGAAGAAGAGGAATTAGAAATTGTGAGGTTTCCAGGACTTCAACTCCAGAGCCCACCTCAGCTGGGTCATTATGTTGCTACCGCCCTGGTTGCCTCTAATGAAGATGAGGAAGATGAGGGAGAAGAGGAAGAGGATTTCCAGGAATTAACTGCTTTGCACAAAGTTGGTGAGTAAAATAATTGACCTCAATAAACTGGCCTCTCCTTATTTTTAGGTAGCTCACATATATTCTGTTGAGCAGTATCATTATCAATATTTAATGCCATCAAATGTTTTAACATGAAGGTTGCAAAAAAGGTTTGGAGCAAGATCATTTTTTTACAGCTTCTATCAAATTTACCACCTTTTGCCTTTCTTCCTCCTGCACAATAAAGGGGCACTGTATAAGTATTTGCAAAAATCAGGATGCAGGGTGAAGAGGTGCCCTTGCTATGTTATACAGAGAAAAAGAACTGGAAAAATCTTTAAATTTGCATAAAAGGGGGAAAGAACCAGGATTTTAAATTCTTATAATTATTATAAATTTTATTAGAAGTCATTTTATATAATTAAAATCTACCTTGAAGAGCCTTAAAATATAGCTGCTTTTCTAGATTTTAAAATAGAGAACCAGTTGTTTAATATGCCCAAGTAGACTAAGAAAATATCTTCAAAATGTGAGCAGTTTTTCTCCCATATCCAAGCAACAGAGCTCAAGCATTAAATCATTTCTGATCAAAATAAATTAGCACAACCTCTATCAAAACTAACTGTGCACAGCCAGTCAAAAACTGGTTTTTTTTTCCCTTTCTTTGTTAAACAGAGCTACTCATTTTGCTCTACTTCTGTTTGTTGTTTTTTTAACAATATAAAAGCTTGATGACTGCTATATAAGGCATAAAGTAAAAGAACAGAAATATTTTATGTTATGGAAAAATCATCATAATAATATCATTAAAGGGTTCTGCATGAAAAGAGGAATATTTTAATGTTTGTTAACGAAGCTTCTTTGGCTACTCAAATCAGAATGGAAGTAATTCAGGGCAACAGGCAGTCAGAACTTGATTAACCTGAGTAAGTTTTGTAAAGAAGGGAAACAGATACATCTCTTGCTGTGTCCCCCTCCTCCATCTATTTTCCAATATATGGACTGTGCCTGGAAATCCAAAAGACAGCTGCTAAGAGGATAAGGAGCAAGGCACAGCTCTCAGCAGTACAGTGATGATAAGGGAGGAAAAGTTGTAGCTCAGGGTCTGCCAAAGTAGAGAGGCCTTGTTGGAAATGGCAACTTTTTAAATCATTTTATCTGAAAGACCTCACCCTTAAAAAAAAATTAAAAAAAAAAAAAACTTAAAAGGAATGGACCTTAAAGGAGTGAAAGTCTATCCATACTTATTCAAATTGAAGTAATCTCCCTCAAGTACAGAATGGAGAAATAAATTCATTTGGTATATTTTTGGAATGGAATATACACATAATGTAAATGACTCTTACAAACATTATATTAATGAAAGAAGCTTCATACCAAAGAGCACATACTGCATAATCCCATTATATAACATTCAGAAATAAGAGAAGATAATCTCTGGTGTTAGAAATCAGGATTGTGCTTAATTTGTGAGGTTAATGACACACTCATCAAGTCACCTTTGAGATTTTAGGTAGCTGGTAATATCCATTATCTTGACCTGAGTGACATGCATATAAGTTGTTTACATCATTAAAAAAATTTCTTGAAGTATACACTTGGGATCTGTCTACTTTTTGCATATGTACTAATTTTTGATAAAAAATTATTTCTAAAAATGCCATGCACATAAAACCTGGAAAGAAAACTACTAAACTACCTAGGATATTTGTTATTATTGTATTCTGGAATTAAGAGTGATTTCTTTTTTTATTTTTTCTAAAGACTCTAGATATTCTCTAGGGAACGTATTCTAATATAATTGTGGGGAAAAAAATAAAATGAGTTCTATTTTAAAGCTATCTCTTTGTTGTGGTCTTTTCCTGGGACTCTCTAGAATGTATGCTGTCAAGAATCCTTGGGGCTGGGGATGTGGCTCAAGCAGTAGTGCGCTCGCCTGGCATGCATGCGGCCCGGGTTCGATCCTCAGCACCACATACAAAGATGTTGTGTCCGCCCAAAACTAAAAAAAAATAAATAAATATTAAAAATTCTCTCTCTCTCTCTCTCTCTCTTAAAAAAAAAAAAAAGAATCCTGGTTTTCTTTCAGTAAAGAAGGAGTTCCTTTCCATTTCGTATTGTAGACAGGAACCAACTAAGATAGTATCATGTTGCAGTCATTTAGGTCACACCTTGGGACAGCCTTGCATCCTGAGCCCTGAGGACTGCATGAACAGAGACATACCTGGAGGGAAGGACCCAGGGCTCCTGCCCTTCTTTGCAATGAAATTAAGTAGTAGCCTGAGAAATGGTACAGGCCACTAGCTACTGGGGACAAGTTCTCTCTTTTTTTGGTACCAGGGATTTAATCCAGGGGTGCTTAATCAGGCCTTTTATATATTTTACTTAGAGACAGAGGTCTCACCAAGTTGCTCAGAGCCTCACTAAGTTGCTGGGGCTGGCTTTGAACTCTCCATCCTCCTCCCTCAGCCTCCTGAGCTGCTGGGATTACAGGCATGCACCATTGAGACCAGCTTTTTTTATCTTTAAGTCGTGCTCTCTAAAATGTTGAAATAAAATAAAGAATTGATGTGGGTGAGAAACCAAGTCATTTGCTATGCATACAGAAGGCCTATGAATGCTGAGGGTTTAAACAGAACTTGTGAGCACAAGAGGAGATTTTGTGTTTCCTGGGAAAGCAGGTGATTTGTCTCTTTTTTCTCCATAAAATGTAAAAGTTAATAAAGGATCCTAATATTTTAGACTTCTAAAATCCCTCCATTTAAATAAGTCATCAGATTGTGGCAAACTATTCCTAATGAGGGGAGGTGAGAGGAAAGGAAAGGATTTGTGGTACAAAGTGCAAACTAAATGAAATTGCTTGACTTCTTGCTGCCTGTTTTTTGTTTCTGTGTTCTTTTTTCTTTTCTTTTTCTCTATTTTTATATATGCTAACAGAGCCATTTACATTGGTTTAATTGTGTTTAACAAGTTTCTTATGAGAAAATAACAAAGATTTGGGGTTGGTATCACTGGAAAATCTTTTTCTCTTCATATTTTAAAGGGAGATATGCTTTCTGCAGTTAAAACTACCCTGTGATAAAATAAAGTATATTGACTATCTTTGTTTTCTTTTTAAAAATCTAGCATACACATCATTTCCTGGAAGGGTTTGTCTTAATCTTTGTGATTGGCATGGAAGATGGTATAAGCAGATTTTCTTCTGAACCTCCTGCACACACACACACACACACACACAAAAAAAAAGAGCACAGATATTTTTTTTCTATTACCTGATATAGATGCAAAACATGAGCCATGGCACAGTGAAGTGGTGTAGCCAAGATTACTCATTAGGATTTTGGGCATCTTTCTCAAGCAGCCTCTGATCATGTTTCTCTGCTGCTCTGAAGCTTTAATTAAGAGGGCCCTATTGCCTGTAGAAAGGTGTGCAGTGCTTCTTGTTCAGACACTGGTAACCATCTAAAATCAGGCTCCCATAAATCCCTTTTGTTTTTATCCTAGGCACGACTCTTTGCCCAGCCTATTATTTCCAGCAAACTAAAACACCTGCTACTTGCTTCCCTGGACTTCGCAGCTTTGTGCCTTTTGTCAAACGGCCTTCTTTGATGGTCCATGCTGCCTATGGCATGAAGTCCTAGATGGTGGCCCCAGTCTTAACACAACTATTTATCTTTCCAGTGGATTAAACTCACTGTCTACATTGGTTTAAACTCACTTACTAGGCTGTGGACTCCTTGTCCAGGTCCTATTCCTGTAAATTTGTTGTAAGTTGCTCCATATCTTGAGCGCCCACTACTAAAGTGAACAAATGACAAAAACAAACAAATTTTTAAAAAATTGATATTGGGACACCCAGCTATACAGCTATGTTGAACTGTAATTGGACATGCTCAATTATATAAAATTGGAATTAAGAAAATGTTTTTGCATGATTTTTAAGAAGTGAGCACTTACCTTATATCATAAGCTGTGTTAATAAATATGCATCTTCGGAACACTTGATCCCTAACATGGTAGCATGATAAATAAAACAGAATTTCCGTGCCAAATACATCAAAATAAAACATTTCCAAAATAAATTGAATACAGAAATATTACAATTAAGCTGGCTGATTAAAATAAAGATAGGATGGCCCCTTTGGCTTTGGAAACCTTGAGCATCTTCTGTATACTCATGAGGTCCTAAAAAGGGGAGTCTACTTATGAAAGAAACCTATGACTTATTAGCATTTTATCTTCATCCTCTTTCATCATTCTTGAAAAAATGAAAACAAAACCATCCAAATCCATCTATCAGTAATGAAAAAAAAAGATTCACTAATTCATTAATAATAAGAGGGTTTGGGGATATTAAAAATTCCTATAAATTATAATAAATAGAGTTGATCAATCAATCATTACCCATATTTTTTTAAGATTATCAGCTTTGAAAACACAGCAAGGGAAACAAAAAAAAAAGCATTCATCAGGGATCTAGAAAGTAGGCTTTCCCATAGATTAGATCTTCTGACCCAATATCTTTATTGTTCTATTATGAAAATATCTATTTTGGCTTCTCAGGAATTTCTCTAAGTAATTATAATGAAACATTTTTAAAACTATCACATATTTAATTTTAATAGCATATTTTTAGAACCCTGTTCCTTCTGAAGAAATTTCATGCTGAAAGCATTTATTATTGTGAGATTACTTTGTGGTTAGGGAAGAAAAGAATCATTTCATATGGCAGATGAATGGACTAGATGGAAGGGAAGGTTTATGTCTTCCAAATCATCCAGCTATGGTTAGGGACACATCTTCCAATTCTTTTCTCCAGATCTTTGTTCTATTGGGTGCTAATGAAATATTTGGCAAATCCTTGTATTTTATTATATAATATTCTGCTTCATGGGGCAGTGCCAGATAATAGCGTAGGTTTGCCTGTATTGATGACTTGCTATAATCCAGACGCTGTGGAACCTACTGAGAATTCTTCAGCTTCATTTCACAGGTGTATTTTTTTAAACTGTCCCTTCTATAGTTGGTGTGAGAATTCAGACACTTATTACATACAGATTAATAATGTAGAACTCAATGAATTGTTCATTTCTAGTCTCTGTGTCTTCTCTTCCTTTGTTTTCCTCTCTTCTTTTTTTTTTTTTTTTTATCCTTGCCCTTTTATAGTAGATTGTGGCTTGAAAGCAAAGAAAAGTTGAATAAGAAGCTGAGTTCCACATTGGCATCTGGAATAGTGGGGGAGGGGTGGGTGGAGGAAATAATTAAATGTAGTTTTGTAATATTTAACCTATTTTGGTAAAATTTCAATTAAAATGATTGCTAAAATTACCTCAACAACTGTATTTACTCAAGTTCAAATAAAACCAGACATTTTTCTCAAAGTATTTTTTTATTCAAATATTAAACACTTTCCTCCAAAATCAACAAACCAGACAAAACTATTGTTTGCTTAACTTCATCAATCTTTGACTATGCCAAGTACCTTGGGACCCTCAAGAGAACCTTAGCTGCATTCATTTCTGGTTAAAAACTAAATGACACTTTTTAATGTGTTTTCTTTCCATTTTTCAAAATAGAAGATAGGTTTGTTTCTCATTAAGGTTAGTTGGAGTGGTTCAGCAAAGGTGTCTGGGCAGCTCTGGAAATGGAGAGCTAGAGTTTAAGGAAAGAGGTAAATTTCACATTTGAACCTTGTTAGCATTTCTTTCACTCATCATTATTTTAACTAGCTGCATCAGTAATTCCCCCAGGAATGATTATGCCATATGAACTAGGAATATGCTGGAGATTTTTTCCTGGGTCTGCAAACTAGTGAGATTGTAATTACTTGGTATCTATCATAATAGATGAACTTTTTCTTCCCCTCCATTTGTAATGCAAGAGGTATGTTACACCCCTTGTTTGTCTTTCTATTTTTTTCACAGCTTGTGCCCCAGGGACAAATGGGAAAGAGTGTGACAGCATCTGCAAGTGTCAGAATGGAGGCACCTGTGATCTTCTGACTGGACAGTGCCAGTGCCCCCCAGGGGTTCATGGGAAGACTTGTGAAGATGGTAGGAATGTCTGTGCCAGTCTTGAGGTTTCTAATGGAAATAAACTGAGTCAAAGTTTCATCTGCATTTTTCAAGACAGCCTTTACTGATGAAGTCAAAGGCTGTGTCTATACATAGAAGATGCAATGGCTTTGACTGATGCCATGTGTAACGGAACAACATAATTGATAATTAAATCGCCAACTGTGATCTAAGCAGGATGAATCTTGAGACACAGAAAGCATTTTTTTTTCCTGCTGAGCAAAAAGTTGAGTTTGTGTCCATATGTGTGTGTGTGTGTGTGTTTTATACTATAATATAACACACTATGTTTTGGATGTAGAACCTGGGAAGACTTGATTTGCTTTACATAGTGAAAGAAAGAGCAATGTGATTTCCAAGGCAAACAGGGAGGGAGAGAGATGAAAGTCAGGGAAAGAAAGGAGAGGAGGGAGAGAGGAAAGGAGAAATGGATACAAATCTCACAAAATGCCAATGAGTGCTGTGTACGGATTTTTCATGGAAACCAGTGAAAAGGCCACATTTCCTACATGGGTTGATGAAGCACAAAAATAAAGACACTGCTTGTACAGACACAAGAGCTGAAGGCAGAGAGTCAGCGAGGATGTACGTCTCCAGGGATTGCCAGAAATCATGGGGAGTTTATTAGATTCTCACAGACCACAGAACTGGGAAGACGGAAACCAAATTTACTTCACTTTCAGAGGTACAGGAAGGCTTCTGCTGGCATTCCACTTGCATATCCCTGTGAGCCATGTTTGTTTGTCTATTTTAAAAATATACTAAGTGGTTGCAAAGAACTGTGCCTGGTACTATATGATATGATAACAAAAAGGGAAAAGGAAAGTTCCTGGTCCCTCCATGTGGAGCCTGTAGTCTTGTCCAAGACAAACATAGATATTACAAATTTATTAATGCATGGCTGGAAGTGAGACCATGAGGACAGGCTGACTGTGTATGATGGAAGAGACTTCTGGAGAAGTAATACTTAAGCACAAGTCTGCAGAATGAATGGAGGAGACAAGAGAAGAGCAAGGGGGTAGCTTTCTAGACCAAGCCAGGAAGATGTGCAATGCACTGCAGAACCCCAAGAAGGAGGAGCAAAGGCAGTTGAGGAGATAGTAGTGCAACTTGAGCTCCCCCAGCACAGGGCTTGCAGTGCTGAGTCGGGTTTCGAACCTGTAGCAGTGGCAAGTCGCCGCAGGGTTTTAAGCAGAGAATGCAGCATCATGTCCGTGATTTTCAAAATCTCTCTCTAGCCTCAGTCCAGCCAGCTTGGAAATGTCTTCAGTGTCTCAATTTCATACAGCAACAGCTCTAGCAGGGTTTGCATATGGGTTAATGTTTTCTTTGTTTGTCCTTTCACCCTCCAGGATGCCCAAAAGGGTTCTTTGGGAAAAACTGCAGAAGAAAATGTAACTGTGCCAACAACGGCCATTGCCACAGGATGTTTGGTTCCTGTATGTGTGAGGCAGGGCGCTATGGGAGATTTTGTCATCTGAGTAAGTCACAAACGCCAGTTGCTTTCTATGCGAAGCATGGTGGCTCAAAATGTATGGGGAATATATCAGACAAAGAGGAGTAAGAACATAGTGTGTGTGTGTGTGTTTGTATGATTGTGTTCTAGCTTTTATTGAATTTCTTTATAGAATCTAGATAAATGAAAATATTTCTGATCTTAACTTTTATTCTAATTAATATTTCCCTAAATTATTTTTAATTTTTTACATTTTTTTCTAGTTAATATTTCTCTCAAGTATTGAGAAAGGATAGTTAATAATTTGGTTAAGAGGACATGTGACACTTTAAGGAGTTTAATATCAAGGGCCAAGAATGAGTCTCTTTCTGGGTTCTAGCCCCAAACATTTATTCCCTCAAGTTTCTAAAACAAGCTCTTCATTTTCCATCCTCCCTATTGATCACATTTTTCAAAAGGTGCAAGAAAACACAAGCACTAAAATATATATCTAGATAGGGGCCCCCTCAGGGTCTTTTAGACTTTCTCCCAGCAGGATAACTCTGGATGTTCACCAGCCCGCCCTAGAGCTGTGTTCAGGAATCCCTGGGCTGGAGTGATCTCAGCTCCACTCCTCCACCTATTCCATTTCCCTCCTCTTTCTCTTGAAGGACCCACTTCTCCAGAAATTTCTTCTAACTGAATGTCAGTGTCTCAGTCTGTTTGGACTGTTATAACAGAATAGTGTAAACCAGAAAGCTTGCATACAACAGAAATGTACTTAGTACTGGAGGTTGGGCAGTCCCACCACAAAGCACTGTGGATTCCAGGTCTCCATCTCCTGAAGGCTGCTTTCTGGTTCATGGTCAATGCCATTTGCTGTGTCCTCATATGGCAGGAAAAGAAAATTGGCTTGTGGGCCTCTTCTATAAGAGAAGGAATCCCACTCATGAGGGGATTCCTCATTCTATAAGAGCAGGAATCCCCCACTCATAACTCACCTTCAAGACCCCACTCCCACCCACCATCCCTGTGGGTAGGTTTCAATGTATGAATTTTAGGAGGATACAGACATACATACCATTGCACAGGACAGTATCATTACCACCTCTTAATAACAGACAGCTTTTAGAGTTTTATAGTCTATCTTAAGTTCAATATCCATGAGTCTTATCTATTTATAAAAGGTATGTACCTGGAAAATAGAGACAGTGGTGAATACTCCAATATGAAAGCCAATGGAGGGATCATAGGAAACTCAACTTGGATCATGAGGAATGGTTAATCTTAAATAAGCAACATATAAGAGACAGGGGTAAAGCATGGGTAAATGTGAGCAATGGTGATGTTGTGTTCCAGAATATCATATATCTCATGCCCAGTGAAGACAGGCCTAGAAACAAAGATAGTCTGTTTCTATTATTGTTTCTGAAATGTAGCAAGATATGTAACCCCATATTTAGTAACAGGGTTTTTTAATACTTGGGAATTGCTTAACCACCGAACCACATCCTCAGCTTTTTTTTTTTTTTTGTATTTTGAGACAGGGTCTCACTAAGTTGATTAGGGCGTCAGTAAGTTCTGAATCTGGCTTTGAATTTGAAATCCTCCTGCCTCAGTCTCCTGAGCTGCTAGGATTACAGGCAGGTACCATTGTGCCTGGCTAGTAATAGCTTTTGAATATTTGACAAGATAATATCAGATGTTTGGGCACAAAAATTAATCATAAAACATCTGAGTGAAAACTTTCAGAGCTAATTTGTCAGAAACATCTAAAATTGAAGTTTTAGTTTTAAATATCAATGTAGCATATTTTTATTCCTTTTCATGCTATCAGGTTTGTTGTTACTGGTGGTGGTTAGCATTTTGAATGTGACCATCTTCAAGTTGGTTGAAGTCCAATTTCAGGGTTTTAGCAGGGTTATGATCCCTCTGAAGAGGCTAGGGAAGGATCTAGACCTCCCAGCTTCTAGTAGATCCTCGTCCTGCAGCAGCATAACCCAGTCTTCATATGCTCTTCTCCCCATGTGCATGTCTCTGTGGACAGATTTCTCCATTTATAAACATACTAGTCACCTTGAATTAAAGGCCATCTTATTCTAGTATGACCTTATCATAACTTCACCAATTACATCTGCAATTTCCAAATAAGGTCACATTCTAAGATCCAGAGAATTAGGACTTCAACATATGAATTTTTGGAAGATACATTTTAATATATAACAAACCCTGAATAGGCACTTGGTTGCCAATACAGGTTACTTCTACTTTCTCTTTTTTTCCAAACGTATTGCTACAATTATATGTTCTTAATATACCCAAATGTCAAATTTATGCATTCCACTGTGCCTGAGTTGTCCCCGGAGCCACAAATCTATATGCTGAATCAGGTAGAATAATACATGAAAGTCAATCTAGGGTGAGTATTCTGAGATGACAAAAAGAGACTTATATCAGGGCAGACTGTAGTCTGAGAAACCCTGGGGCTTGGAGGGTCTGAGAAAGAATTACAGACTTGAACGTCATAGAAAATGTGACAGGAGAATCATGAACAATTTTGAGAACAAACTTCTGTTAATAATTTTGTTTTGCCTCAGTGGTAACTGAGTGTCCCTGGCAAGTGGCACTAGGATCATCCTAGGTGGTACCTTTATAACCACTGCTTTGAATGATCTCTACTTGTCCCTCTCCATCTACCACAAAGTGGAGTGGTGTGTTTTATTTTCTGCAAGCAACTTTCTGTAGCAAAGCCCATAAAGACACACAAAACAATTGCCTTGAGCCTGGAGGGCACTTGAAAGGATCTCTCATTTGATAAGTCCCTTGAACATCTGTAATAGGGAAGAAACGATGTCAGAGAAACATTTTGGAAAGGGAAATGAATTATTCTAGTAACTCCTCAGAAAGGGAACTACAGGTATGTTTTCTTAAATGCAAAAATGAGACTTTTTCCAATTGGGATTCCAATGCTGACGACCATCCCTAAAGCTTAATGACAGGGGGAAGATAATATGACATGAGGGCAAGCACCATTTGCCAAAGATGTGGTCAAGATTACGCTACTGTCACTGTGAAAGCTCTGTGCTATCTGCATGATGTAAATTTTTTTTCTGATTACCATATAATAAAGGGGAGTGAAAACAATGGCAAGCCTTCACATAAATGCTTGTCCATCATCTCCATGCTGCGGCAGGATGGCTATGGGTCCTGGCAGCCGCAGCAGTCTTTGGAGAATATTAACTATGGGCACCAGTGGAGCACATTGAGAAGCAATTTCTCTCCTGGAAGCACCAAAGCCTTTTAAGTAGTTTAGGCTTCACTGTTCATGTCCAGTTGCCAAAAAGCAAATTAATTGTCTGATTTGAAAGACATTTGTTTCCTTATTTTATTTTGGCAGTCAGGATGATCCCCTGTTTTCCTCATAATCAGGCCCCACAGAACGACATGCCTGTGCACTAACAATTTAAAATAAACAAAGCGTGGTTTTCAGGTGACCGTTTTGCTTCAATCTGCTCGCAGACTGTCCCAAGGGGGCCTACGGAGCTGGCTGCTCTTTGGAATGTCAGTGTGTGGAGGAGAACACCCTGGAATGCAGTGCCAAAAATGGTAGTTGCACCTGCAAATCTGGTTACCAAGGCAACAGATGCCAGAAAGGTACAATCTGATGATAGATTTTTCTTTCTTCTCTAATAATAACGCTCAGCCTTTGTTCAGCATCATATGATCATTAATTAGTTAATCCACCAGTGTCCTCAGGTGGTGTGGTATGCTTTATTAATCCCCTATTTGCAGGTGAGGAAACTGAGACACAGGACAATAAAGTTATTTAACCTTATCTTCTCAGATTCTGTTATAAGCAATCCCCTTACTGACTTGAGAAGGGAGGAAACATCACATTATATAGTATCTTGTCCAGAAAAAAAGATGAGAGCTCCTTGTGTCCACTTCTTTGAACTGAACTAACCAACCAAGAACACTGCTGGCTTCCTGAATTAAAGAGTTATTCTCTCTATATCTAAAAATGGGTCACTCAAACAAACAAAATGCAAAGATACTTAATTGTGGAAAATTTAAAATGGCTATCAGTATTGTCCTTTCTCAAATTTTTAGATATTACATAACTTTTAAATTTAAACTACAAATAGAAAGGTTTGTGTATAGCATAATTTCAATTATAAGTAATATATTCATGTGTGTGTATGTGTGTGTGTGTGTGTATTTGCATGAAAATTTGGAAGACAGGGTCCCAAGATGTCAGCGATTTTGTTTCTGGCTTGTGGACTCACACACGGAATGCTCCTCCTCAGGTTTTTCAGGGCATTTTTTTATGTGTTTTCAAAGCCTCATGTCACCTTTGCACCGAATTTTATCAGTCCCACCCTACCTAACATTGCAACCTGCAAGTTTCCCTGAACATTTTTCTTTCTCTCTCATGCTTATCATATTCTAATAGACCACATATTCTAATTATATATTGTCTAATATATATTGCCTGTCCTTCCCTGCTAAAATCTGAACCCCATGTGGGAAGAGTATGTGCAATTTTATGCCAGTATCCCTAATCTCCTAGAACAGTCCTGACATAGAGATGTTTCCCATTAAATGATTTCTTAAATTAATACATAAATATGCATAGTTATTTTTTATCTTTTATTCATTTTTCTTATATGGTGGATAAAGCCCTAGTTACTATTTTATTCAGAGGAAATTATCACAGCATTTTTTTCTCTTTCATACAAAATACTGACCATACCACAAATACAATTATCATAACTAATGACAAGTTGTGATACTTTTTGCCTTTGCAGGACCCAAAAGGCAATGTTGCTTAAAATTGGGAGAAGATAATGGGTTTGAAAGGAAGCCATCATGTACCAAGTTCACTTACAAAGGGAAGCACTGAGATTGACAGTTGTTCTTGACCCTCTTGTATCCTCAACTGCTCCTTATACTGCAATCTTCAGAGAGTCTAAAAGGCTTTTCTGGAGCTGAATGAGAAGGGGAGTGTGACTTTATTCTGGGTTATTCTGTGCCTGTGGAACTGAAGCATGTGAGCAGTAATGTCCATCTGAATTTTGTGGAGAGTGAACTCTTTAGATAGCTGGATTGTGAGTTTCTAGGTAATGGGGAAAGGAACCTGGGGATATCACATATCACATGAACGTGTTTAAAATGGTATAAGTGGGTCTTGTGTCACTCTCTAAATCTCTTGCCTCAACTGATTTTTAAACCCAGACTTGGCCCCTTCTTTCTTTCCCCACTGGAGATGTCATGCCCTGGAAGCTAATGCCCAAGGAGATAATACCATATCCACACACCTGGGTAAATTTGATTTATTCTGATAACATTTTCTTAAAGCAGCTGCTGAATATGCTTTATTGGAAAATGCTTCTGAGATTCCCACTGTGAAAGAAAATGAGTTGAAAGTATATGTAAATCAGCAAAATAGAGAGGTCACCATAATCTCTGGAAAACATATTATTTTTCAATCAGATAACTTTGTCCAATTCTGATATTTTTGTCTAACCACAAAATGAAATTATGAATCAGACTGGAGCGGGTGAATGGGCTTGCCATGATTGACAGCTGAAATCAAGGCAAAAAGAGCTCTTTAAGAGTTGTGCATGATGAAAATCAGGCCTGTTGTTTTTCTTTTTCCTTTTTAAAAGAGTGAAGTAGCCCAAGTGCTCCTAGAGCCAGACAGATCCTTAAAAATCTTAACTCCAGACCTGTGTCTAGATTGCAGATGAATAGTTAATTAAAGATTTCAAATTGTTTCAATGGCACTAATGAACAGTATTCTCCACAATCAACACCCGTCCTTATTTAGCTTATCAGCAGTGACTTCTAAGAACAGAGGAGCTGGTTTCTTCAACTAACCTGTGAAATACCCAAAAAAGAAATACCAAAAAAAGAAAAGAAAGGAAAAAGGTTCTTTTTTAAAAGCAGCCAATGTATTTGGCTTGTATGTTCATTAGTTTATAGCCTGGGATATTTTGGACCCCAGCTACCTGTAGAGGACCCTCTGGGCCAGCAATTCCCTTAAGTCCATTTAAGGTGGTCCATAACAACCTTCATGTCATAATAAGAATGACAGATTATTGTTAAAGTAGTTCCACATTAGATGAACTTTGAAATTTGAACTCTAAGGGCAGATTAATTGACTCTGAAGGTCCTGAGTACTTAATATAGCTGGGAAAGCTGACTGCAGTGGCTGATGGCTCCAGTTTCAGAAGCCAGATGGTCTGGGTTCAAATCCTGCCTTTGCTACTTTCTAGCTTGGTAAAGGAGTAGGTCACTTAATCTCTCATGTAAAAATAAAATAAAGTGACCATGGGGAAATTTTTGTGGAAATATAAGCTAATTTACATAAAGTGCTTGGTGCAGAGTAAGCGATCAACAGATCAGGTACTAACATCCCAGAAAATAATTCACTCTGCCCAGTTCAGAAGATACTTCATGATTCGATTTCAATTGCTGTGACTTTCTATAATTACCATATGTTTTGGAAAATTTCACCATTTTCCCCTGTGTTAAAAGAATGCTTCCCACTAGGTTTCTAATTCCAGTGATTTTGATGGTAGAGCATATGCTGAGACCTCTGAGTCTCAGTGTTGATACAGCTTCAACTGTCCTTTTCTAGTTCAAAGGACATTCAACAAAGAAGCACACAATTTCTCTTTAGTGCATTGTATACTTTCATAAAATCCACAATTTGCAAACCTCTGGTGTGATTATTCTGACTTAGGGGAAAAAAAAAAAAAGCAAAGACTGGGAGCAAAGGATTGAGGCAAGCATTTGGGGGCAACTTCCTGAGCACCATGCCTCCTTTACAAATTACATCTCATTTTCATGTTTTGTTCTGTGCAACTGCCTCCAAAGATATATATCAAAATTGCTTCCATTGTTACTGTCTGAAAAACTACATTTTCAGCAAAAAGCCAACCACTGTATCTGTGTTTCCAAAGTGACAAGATAGAGCATCATGTTGATTTCTTCAGGGAATATTTTTGGAAGTGCTATAAATCCTCAGAGGCTACTAGAATGTTTCTTTCTTTGCAGCTCAGACACATGCACGCGTGCGCACACACAAGCACACAGACACACATGCACACATTTGCCAACTCACTTAGGCAACAGTAGAAATCTGGGACCATCTTGAGCTTTATTGCAAGTCTGAGCTCCTTTCTTTCTCTCTCTATTTTACAAGCCTGCCCTGATGGCCTCTGGGGACCAGAATGCAGGTTCTCCTGTGGACCCTGTGAAAATGGAGGTCAGTGTGACAAAGAAACTGGAAACTGTACCTGTGCTCCTGGTTACATGGGAAAATCCTGCACAATGTGTAAGTAATAAACCTAGAAAGGAGACCCAACAGAGTCAATAAAATTGTTGGCTTTATAAATGCTTTTCTTATTGACTGCTATACAAGGTGTTGCTGTTAGATAGCTGTTCCAGCTATCATTGTACAACAACCCACCCCAATACTTTGTGGCTTAAAACAATAATTTATCATTTCTCTTGATCCTGTGGGTTGATGAGATGGCTCTCACTGCTAGTCGCTCATGCATCACTCCTGTGGCTATTTCAGGAAGTTGATCAGCTGGGAACAATTGGGCTTCTCAACTCTGCATAGCATTTCTATGAGGTTCCATTGGACTTCCTCCTCACACAGCAGTGTCAGGACAACACTCCAAGAAGGAGCATACAGAAAGCGTGAGAGCAGAAGCTACAGATGTCTCAAAGTGTAGCCACAGAAGCCACACATTATTATTTCCACCGCATTCCACTGTTTAAAGCAAATCATGAGGCAAGCCAGAGTTAGGGGGAGGAGAAAGAGGTTCTAACTCCTGATGCAGAGGAGTAGCAAAATTTCATTGCCAAAGACTTGCAAACTGGGAGAGAAGGTTGCAGTCATTCGGGGAACCAATCTCCCAGAGTATAGTAGTTAATGTTATACTGAAATGCATTTTAAGAAATTCTAGACTAGGATTATCATTCTTGACAGAATGGGAGCAGATTATAAACTGCTAAAAAGTGATTAACTAAATTGAACCTGTTTAAAAGAGTCGGATAGAACTACTATCCTGCCATACCCTCTTCTGATTGTGATTCTTACCTACACCTAAGCTAACCCCCACTGCCTTATCTTCTCTGCCCCATCCGCAGTGAAACAGAGTAGCTGGAGAAAAGCTGTGGACTGGATGATAATGATGGCGTTTTCCACATTACTATTGCAACTTTGTCTAATAAAGATTAGCAAAACTCTATTGTTTGTGATTAGCTATCATTTGATAAAGTGTGGGCTGTATCTGAATGAGTTCTGAGTGCTTAGGACTTTCTATAAATAAACAATTAAAACCAGAAATATAAACTGTAAATATAAAATATAGTACAGGAGAGTATTTAGCACAGAGCTAATCATCTGATCATTTGGGGAAATACATTACTACCCCTAAGGATAACCCTCAAGCAGAAGTGACAGGACAGGTCTTTGCCTGACAGTTTTTCTGTATATATCTAGACAGTTTTTATTTCAGCACCATCATTCTGGCACTGTTGACAATCATCTCAAATAGTCTAGAAGTTTACCAGAGCAGCAGTTGACTATCCCTAACCTACTTGTTTGCTTAAAAAAAAAAAAAAAAAGATTTAAAGGTAAGAATTTACATATTCAAAAGGTAGTTTCTTGCTCTTTCCACAGCGCAGTGACATTTTCTCTTGTCTAACTCAACATTAATGGAGTTATTATTAAGCAGATAGTAATAAAATTTACATTGTTTCAATTGTCAGGTGATATAAATAGATTATTTAAAAACAAGGAAAAGATAAACTGCTCATTCTCTCAAATATTAATTTTAATAGTCCTGCTGTGTTATAATGCTTCCATCCTAGTATTTCAAACCCCAAGAGAATATTTTATGATAGTCCTGAGAAATTTGTGGTGAAAAGCAATGGTTGTTTAAATTGTATTGGCAAGCTGATTATGATACATGTACTGAATTGACTAGACAAAAAGTGCCCTAACTCCTGGTCCAGTTCAGTTTTAGTGAGACATGCTATTATCTGATTTTAATCACAGAAACACAAACACGTATTATATAATCACGGTAATAAGTTATTTAGGAAAATGAGTGAAACTGAATGATAGAACTCATAAAAAATGCTTCACACATACTTCACAAAGACTATGTATGGCATTTTTTAAAAGGCTTGTATTTGAAGAAAAACATACAACATATCTCTAAATACCCTGGTATGGTGCTCACAGAATTTTAAAACCTACTTACTCTGCATAATGAACTGTAAAAACACTTACAGGCGATACAAAGTAATATTTTTTATAGACAGGAGAGACCAAAAAGCTATTTCTAAAGTTATTGGCTTTGTAAAAATTCCATTGTTTGGAAGTTATAAAAACACATACTTGAGAAATTTTTTCTTTTAAAAAAATATTTTATTTTACTGGTAGGAAACCCTCTGGATTATGTCTTATGCTGGTTAATGTTTTATGCAAATGTGTGGGTTTTGTGGGGTTTTTTTCTTCTTCCTGCATGGTGTGTGAGGCACAGGGAGGTGGATGGCTTCCCAGGCCCTCACACCTTGGGAAAAGTGCCACCTCTGGGAAGGGCACTGTAGCTTTCTATCAGGCCTTTTATCAAATATTCAGAGAAGTGGTCCTAGCTTTTTCTTTATCCTGACGTTATTTCTCATAGCAAAAGTACAAAATGGAAACAGCCTAAATATCCATCCAAGGGGAGAATGATCAAACCATTATATAATACATCTGTGGACTATTCTTAGGCAGTTAGGATTCGTGTTTTTTGATAAATGCTTATTGTCAGGAGAATTGACGTTAAATGCTGTATATAGAGAATGATCCAAATTTATGAGAACACGAACCCGTGGAAAATTGTAGTAGAAAGGACAGCTGTTGTTAACAGTGGCTGTGGGTGAGTATTTTTCTCCTTTATACGTTTCTGTCTTTTCCATATCTACTGCCTTACAATTTTTCCTTGGAAAAGTTGTTAATGTAAAAAGTAGTAAGGTAGTGAATACCAGTGCCCAATTTTTGTCGTTACTTAAAGTAGCCTTTGAGAATCTTCACTGTTCCCATGACAGTGAATACCAGTCTCACTGAACTTGCTCTTTTAATTGAAGTTCAATTTTCTCTGTTTTGTTGTGAATGTTGAACACAGTCCATCAATACTACCAAAACTTAAAAAAAAAAAAACCTTAGTAGTATGTCCCTGAACATTTGTTTCCTTTGCCTTTCTTCAGAAATTCGATTTTCTATTAGTCATTTTGCTAATATATCTCTGATTTTTGTCATGTTTTTCATAAACCTTTATAAAATAGGCCTCTGAACTACTAAAGTGGAGTGACAGAGAATAGGGAAAAGATATAAGGAGGGAGATTCTAATAACAAATACAACCATGTTTCCAACACCACTAAATAAAACTTCATGGAAATCATATTGAACACAGGTCTAAGTTCCCAGTGGAAAGCTGGTAAATATTTAACAACTGGCCGTCTGAAATATAAAAAACCTGGGTTGTAGCGTTCGCCTATTTCCATGGCGTAATACTCCCACCGTGGTCATTTCAAGCAACCAATGTGATGTCAAATGGCTTACAAAATTCCTGAAAATTTAACGGTTGGTGTCCCAAGCTGGTAGTAATGGCTCCAACAAACCACTGGCTGACAAACATTGTGTTCTGAATACACAAAATGATTTCATGACCTTTACTTTCTCCTTCGATATTAAGAAATGATTACTTTTCAGGTAGTGGTTTTACATTGCTCTTTCTAAACAGCTAACCAGTTTGACCTTTCTGGTTGAATTAACCAACAAATAGCTCCAACCAACAAAAAAAAATTGGCTATTTAGCCAGTCTAGTTTATTTTTAAGACAAAAATCAATTGTTTGAACCCATACAAGATTCAAAAAACTGACCAAAAAAATATTGAGCTGGAAACAGAGCCTTATTTATCCTTTTTTCTAGAATTCATGTAAAATTCTGATCTAGAGGGATCGTTTGTTTCTTTTAACCACCTATAAGCTATTTTCAATTTCTACTACACCCACCACAAACCAGGGCTGGCGTTTTCTTTATGACACATTGTTATTAAAAAAAGAAGAAAGAAAGGACAGTTATCTAAAGTACAAGAAAAAGAAAATATTATATGTAAAATCAAGAAAAGAAGTAGATGAATAAAAAGAAAAACTTAAGAAGAACAATTATAAGGCCTCAGTACCTCCAAAAACAAAGAAGTGAGATGAAACAAAAAGCCTCTCCTTCTCTGAAGCCATTGCAAATCTGATTTTTAAAGTTGCCGTAAAATAAATTGTATTTAAATAATACATCGCCCATCCTTTCCTGCAGTGAGATGCATTTCCCTTACCAATCTGGTTCTCAGCAGGCGGGCCAGCCTGATGAAGTATCAGCAAAATGTCAGCTCCCACAGAGAAGTGCGACAGAGGCGACACTGAAGCAGTGACAGGCCTTTAAAGAAGCTATTGTACAAATTCGGTTTTGAAATAGGGATGTGGTTGAGGACGGATGGGTATGTCATTACCAAGGCGTTCATCTCCCCATCATCAGGAGGCAGAGAAGGGAGTCCTGGAGCAGCTGATGTGCAGACATTAAGTTGAGGGGTGGTAGAGCTGGTCTCGAGGAGATTTGTCTTTATATCTGTATTTTTAAAAAGTTAATATTCAAATTAGCTTGCCTTTTTAACATATACACATTGAATGCAACCTAAGAGCAGTCTCACCCCTACTGGATGAACTTCCATCCTGTCTGTTAGATCATTAAGAACAAAGTTCATCTTGGCATTCCTTAATAACCCTCATTGACTTATACTATACACAAGAAGTGACAATACCATAATGTTAAAGGCTCATCATCAACCTGTCCCTCACCTCACATTGACCACTCTCACATAGAACCCACCTATTCAATCATAGGACCCACCACTGTGCTTCCAGAGATGACCCTCATACTTCAGCCCTGAATTCCCCCCAAACACCATGTACATTTAAAATATAGTACCATAGTTCATTGTTCTTTACTAAATATCTTTTTTTCCATTATAATTGCTAGCTAAATTTCTTCAAGGATTTTTATTTTTTAGTCCTGTGCAAACAAACCAAACCATGAAATTTCTTTCTTCCATAACATCACTGATCATAGTGCCTGATAATTAGTTGTCTGTTTGTGCATGATGAAGGCTATCATTCATTTTTTTTATAATCTTCAGCTCTCTCTGTACATGAGATGCTTCATTTGATGGGCTTGATTCAATTAAGAACATCCTTAACAACTTAGTAAAGAAGGTTGGGCTTTAAGTTTCATAGAAATAACTCATCCCATACAAAGGAGACCTGAGAAACACCGAGATTACTGTACTTCTGGATATCACATGTCCTAGGTTGAATTATTAGACCTGTTAAGATGGTTAAAGGGGAGAGAGGAGAAGGAAGTTGTAGCTTATGCCCAGCACCACAGCTCCACTGAATTCAACTTCCTTTCTTTAATTGCAGAAGCTTTTTCAATGTTTTAGAAGACTTACAATATCAGACAAGGGTGATGTTTGTTTTTGTTGTGTTTTGTTTTATACTGGGGATTGAACCCAGGGGCACTTTACCACAGAGCTACATCTTCAACCCGTTTTTATTTATTTATTTATTTATTTATTTATTTAAGACAGGGTCCCATTAAGTTGCTGAGGCTGGCTTTGAACTTGCAATCCTCCTGTCTCAGCCTCCTGAGCCACTGGGATTGTAGGTGTGTACCACTGCACCCAGCTTGTGGTCAAGTTTTTATGATCCCTTAGCTTTTCTCTGAAGATTCTTGACTTATTTCCTTCTATACACACCTTCAGTGTATGCATTCTCTTCTTTAAAATAAAATAGCCATCTTAGACAAATGAATAAATGTCTCTGGCTCTTAGTGAAGAGAAAGGAAAGGAAAGTTTCAGTTAGGTAATAATATATATATAATATATAGTTCAATGTGTAGTAAATAATAACACTATATGGTCAACAGAAACTCATGTAGCATAGTGATGATACGTTACTCAAAGCTCTTGTTAACTGAGCTCCAACTCTGTTATCTATGGTGCTGGGTGTTTTCCATTAGATTTCTCACTTAATCCTCAGAACAGGCATCTGAATTTGGCATTCATCTACCCTCATTTTATGAATGAGGAATCCAAATCAAGGGAACATTAAGTGACTTTGCTGCAATAATATAATTAGTAATTCTGAACTAGAGAATCAGAGAAGCACATATGGACATGACACATTTGTGCAATGAAATAACATGTGATATTGTAGCTACCTGCTTGGGAATTTTAGAGGAAAAGAAAAATTTTCATGAAAATATTCCATAGAAAAACCAGAGTAGTCAAGAAGTTCAACAAATGTTTTTCTCTTTTGAACCCCACATATGTAGGCTGCCAAAAGTTGACACAGTCCAGAGCATTGTTGGAATGTCAAGGGCCAAGAGAGTGTTCTCAGTTTACTGAAGGAGAGAGGTCTTTTGTTTGTCTGTATGCAGCATGCCCAATCTATTTCTACAGCCAAAGTTGCTACTGTACCTCACTGGTAATGACACTTCTCAGAGGGACCATGATGCCAGCCAGTGTACCTGCCTGTCCAACTGGGCCCAGACTGATGACAGATGCTGTAAATCAGGAGCTGATCATAAATCCTGTTCTTCATCTAGCATAAATAACGACCTGAGGAATTTTCTCCACATTCTGCAGATGCTGAGTGGTCCCGATTCTCTTTGTTTTTATCTTAACTGTGTTTAAAATTCTCTTTGTGTGTTGGTAAATAGTGTTGGCTAGCTGCCTCCAGTAATCCATGATTACTCTTGCTTCTGGCTTCCAGAGACCTGTGTTGAATATCTGGCAGAGTATAAAATAAGTTCTGAGTCATCCAGAAGTTTTACCCTCTAATGCACACACCTTTCATAGGGGTATAGGCACAAACCCTTTATGTGTTCTTAGTTGGGCTCATGGTCTACTTTGTCTTGCAATTTTTATCTACTTGGGGCTGAATATTCATTTTTACTTCTTTGGCTTGTATTCATTCTTGTGCTATAATTCCTTAGTATGCAAATATATAAGGACCAGTCTAACGTTAGAGGAAACTTCTTTCTCTGTAATTTGATTTTCGTTTTGCTGTTGTTGCCACTGTATCCAAGTATCATTGTTTCTTTTGCAAGCAGAGATTTTTAACAAGGTCCATATGGTGGAGAATTTTGCAGAATGCATTGAAAGTGAATAAAGTCTCTGGTCATAATATTCATTAAGGTTTAATTTTATGATTGTCTATTGAGACTTCTGTATCCATGTAGTTTGCTTGGTGCTATATGGATTACTAAAAACAATAAGACATCTTCTTACCCCCAAGGAATTTATGCAGAATTTAGTGAATAAGAAAGATATATAAATTACTAATTTTAATTATACTGTAAAAGAGGATAAGATAATAAATGTGTGATAGAAGGCTATGATCAATCCTACTAGGGGGATACCTGAGTCTTTCTTGAAAAGGTTTATGGTTTAGCTGATATCCCCAAAAAAACCCTTGAAGTGTGGGCAAATATAAAGTTCATCTCAGGCAGTCCTAAGAGCACAGACCAAGTGGTGTTAAATAATACAGATGTTAGAGTAAGATAGGATCTAAGTTTGAGTGTGCTGAGCAATTAAGGAAGTAATAAGGAAAATCTAAAGCTTTGGAGAAATAAATCAATATTACCTCAAGTTGTAGTGTGCAGCCTGTCTTTGTGTATCTGCTCCACCCGGTCTCCATGTGGATTCGTTTTTCTCTACTTCTGAATGAGTATCCAGAAAGATACCAAGACTTTGCTAGTAATTCTCAATTGTGATTGTGTAATTAAAAAGCATAATTCTCTTGCTGTAGAGGGGACATGCTGAGGGAGCCTGAGGGAAGCAGCTCAGAGGTCCCCACTCTGGATCCTTGTGGTCTTGCCAACAGGATTCCACGCAAAACAGGACACTTAGTAAAAGAATAGCAGTTTATTAGAAGACATAAGAAAAGGGAGAAAGAGGACATTCTCAGAGAGGAGGGCAAGTCAGGGGTTTTTAAGGATTTCTAGGTCTCATTTTTATTGCCTTGATTTCTCAAAGACCCTCAATCTATATATTGCCCTTTGAATAGCCCTCAGCAAACCTTTTTTTTATTTTTTTTTATTGATAAGGGTCTGAGATATCACTCAAAGAGTGGTTGGGGGTGGTTTTGACATAATTATTGTGATAATGGAGCATCCTGACCACCTGAAAGTTGGGATATAAAGTTGAAACAATAGTTTTTCTTAAGGGGATGTAATTGATTATGGCTGGGGAAGATTTTGACATACCAGGACCCCATCTTCCAGGTACTTGCCTGTCCCATAAGGCTCCCTGTGGTTTTCAGTCACCCTTCCTTCACTTTCCCCATTCACCAGTTCATGGTTCACTACCTACCTACCACTATGCGATCAAAACTTTAATTTCAAATCTAACTTAAAGCTTATTCCTTGTCTAGTGCAAGCCTAATGCATACTCAGAAGTGAGAAAGGGAAATGGTGGGGCTCTTTACTCTATCCTCTCACTGTTCTTGTTCTCTACCCTTTTTGGTGACATTTGTCCTATAGAAAATGTTCTGTGGGGGGCTGGGGTTGTGGCTCAGCGGTAGAGCGCTTGTCTCGCACGCACAGGACCCTGGGTTCAATCCTCAGCACCATGTAAAAAATAAATGAGTGAAATAAAGGTATTGTGAATAAATATATTTTTTAAAAAATGTTCTGTGGTTGATAGAAGTGACACTCTGTAGTCTGTCCTCTTCAAATGAAAGTTATATATCAGCTCATGGATCTCCCAGTTTCCAGAAGGCATAGACCAAGTTTTCAAAGTGGTTTTCTCAAAACCCTCTGCACCTGGCTTAAGGCAAGAAGAAAGTACTGTGTGGAGAGCGGAGAAGGAAGGTAGCAATCCTTGGACAACTGAATGATGCTATTTGGCATGGTAATGAACACCTGCACCTAGAAACCAGACTTCCTAACCTCTTATACCCTGGCTTCTCTACTTCAGCTGTTTCATTAGGGAATTACTTAATTTGTCTTAATTTCCTCATCCATAAAATGGAATTAATAAAGCACTTATCAGATTCTCATAAAGATCAAATAGGTTAATATATGTTGTACCCTTGGAAGAGCATTTAGCACATAATTTAGACACAAAAAAAGTAGAAAAGAAAATACTAGATTAGCTCTTCTTAGTAAGACCCAAATAAATGATCTGTCACACATTAAGTCTCTTATGCAAATCTGGGCCCAAAGAAAATTTCATTTTTTTAGCCTGCTATCTAGTCATTACTTTTTAATTCTTCATTATAATCTCATAAAGTAGATAATATTGTGATGTCATTTCCAGGTAAGGGAAATGAGGCACAGGGAGGCTACTTGGTAAGTAAGTAAGAAAGTTGGGATTGAAACCCAACAGTTTGATTCCAATGACTAATTTTAACTATTATGAAATATTACCTATCAAAAAAACCCTATAAATTCAGAGAGAGAGAGAGAGAAAAAAAAAACAAAGTTAAATGAATACATACAGAAGATGAAAAATGACTAAAATGTT